CCCCGATCTGACTGATGTTATTACTCTTTTAGAAATGGATCAGTGTGGTGGATGTCCTCTCATCTATCTACCTAATGCAGTCAGCATTTTCTACCCCACAGCATTGAACGATGCCATGAAAAACATCTATATTTTTGCAGTTAAATGACTCACATTCTTGATAAATGGATTTAGGAACGGTCTCCAGTTGTTTTAGAATAGCCAAAGCCAGCATGAATCAACATGAGCAGTGCCTGACCAATAAATAATATACTTGACATCATTCAAGTCCATTCAAGACGGAAAAATGATTAAAACAACTGTATCTCTCACCTTTTTCACTTTGGCCTCCTTTAGCTTCTCCAAAGCAAGCTTGATCTTATCTGCTTTCATCTGTTCCTCTAGTTCTTCCTGAGGGGGAACAAAATGATGTTTGTGGTTTCATTGCCTTTCATTTCATAACGTCAGTGTGACGTTAAAGTAGGGTGACCATACGTGCCATTTTCCCAGGACGTGTCCTGGGAAAATGGCACGTATGGTCACCCTACTTTAAAGGGCTCTGCATATGGGAAATGCAAGGTTTACTTTGACTCTCTGCAGATTAAATATAAAAATGACAATTGAAGACGGTATAGTGTTGTCTGGTTTTGCAGTCTGAGGTCAGAGAATCTTAACAGAAATAGAAACCTCAGATGAGGCTGATTTTGAACGCTCAACAGTATACAAAGTGTGTTGACTCCGATAGAGTTAATGTTAGCATGATGCTAAGCTAGTAATGTGATTAATTAGAATTAAATACATACAAATAGTTTAATGTTTGTACAATAGCCTATATTCCAAAATATCACCAGGCATTCTGGGATCCAAAGAAGGATGTACGTAATGCTATCCTTCTTGGAAGGCAATATAATTATGCTGCCCAACTTGTAGAACAGCCTTCACATCGGTGAAGTACAAGTACATCTGTAATGCTTTCAAGTGCTTGTTAGGTATCTCACTTAAGGTTTTAAAACAGAGCTGATCTACATTATAAAAACGTCTGGATATCTCCTGTTGTACATTCTGCCAAGCACTGGTCTAGACATAAAATAACATTCAATGAATATCCGGCTGAGCTAACATTGCAATCATGAGGATAATTACATTTTATGGTTAAGCTTTTTTACATGCTGAGTAGAAATGGATATTGTAGACATTCATAAGGTTCATACTTCATAAAGTTATTGCAGTTTTACACTGTTGGCTGCACTTAAATTCAATTATAATTGCTCACATCTGTTGTTTGGCCTGGTTGTGTTAAAATAAAGCCTGTAACCTTCAACTATGTACACGTTAACCACATGAGGCCTGAGGGTGTGCGAACCATTCAGAAAGAGACTTACTTTTGATGGTTTGGAGGCGGGTGGTAGGGGCGGAGCTGCAATGGAGTTGGAGAAAGTTGCAGGTCTAGAGGTGTCAGTTGACGCTAGGAGGCTAAAATTACTCTGAGGCTGGGAGGGTATTGGGGCAACTGGGACTGACCCCGTAAACGTATCTCTTTCTGTGGCAAACTTTTCTTCCGTGGCACTGATATCTGCCACCAGATCAGCCATCAAGGCGTCCAAGTCATTGTCTTCCAGATCATGCAGAGATGCTTTAGAGGTCACAATGTGAACAAAATAAAAAAAAAATGTCACATTGTTGACAACAATGGGGGGGGGGGACAAAATATAGCAACCTGATCTTATCAAGTATTTAAGGTGTGCTATTTATTTATTTTTATTTATATGTAAAACGTGATACAAAACATAAGATTTATAATAATAATAATAATAATAATAAGCATGAAGGTCCACCCAACCCCATCACTGAGACTTAAGTAGAACATATGAAAATGTACAAAGGAGATACAAAGTATGAACACACAAATAAGCCACCAATTCATTAAAATGTAAAATATTTACAAATTTCCATGAGATTATGTTGGATATTGTGGCCACAAATAAACAATTTCCCACCAAATGAGCAGCCAGGATTTAAAGGTGCAATAGATGATTGTCTTCAGAAACATTTTTTGTTATGCTGGTTGAAAGTCTCTTCACATCATGATAGCAATCATTAAGTTAAGTGGTCTAAATGTGTTTATCTGTATTTATATATTCTGTGGAAGGCGTAGGACCAAGAAATGTTCGTCCAATCAAAACGCTCGGTCCGTGCATTATAATTGGCTTTCCTACCTGCCTGTCAACTTATGTATTAGCATACCTCTGCGCACCCTGCTCGCGCAGACAGGATACGTCATAAGCACGTTCACGTACGCTATGCAGACATCGAGAATGGCAGACAAACATCAACAACCTGATCTTCCTTCCTGGTATTGTAATACTTTTACTAACTGTGCTATAAAGTTTTCTCACCGATGAATGACACATGATGTATTGTAGTAATGTTGTCTCTGGTCGTCTGGTGTGCGTATGCGTTCAGGGGGCGTGGCTTTGGACGGCGATTAGTTTTCTCACAGGTGAATGACACATGATGTAGCCCAGCGATTCCCTGCTCCCTACTCCCTGAGAAATGAAGTTTACTTCACTTCAGAACATTCATTTACGGATTTGTGCTGCGCAGCGTCTTCACACACAGACAAAACTTACTAGAGAAGTGTGAAGTGTGAAATAATATACCTCTGTAAATAAATGCGAGGACTGGAATTGGGTACCTCTGATGTAGCCTATTGTAGTAATGTTGTCTCTGGTATTCTGGTCTGTGAGCGTATATGCGTTCAGGGGGCGTGGCTTTGGACGGTGATTGCAGGGAGGGTGGGACGTTCGCTTTCAGTGCTATCAGGCTAAAGTTAGCATTTTCCAAGATCTCCTACTGCACCTTTAACCCTAACCCCTGAATAATATATTAAACATATTAACATGAATGATAGCTTGAATCATGCAGTGCCATATGCTGTTTCTTTTCTAAACAGTCAGACTGACAAAATGTCCTAACTTTATGCGATGTGATACGACACTGTGAATAAAAGGTCTTCTCCAATGTTAATCAGTTTTTTTAGCGATTAACAGCTAATTTTTTTCTTTTTTTATATTAACATAACATTACAATTTTACAATATTGTAATATTAAATATAGTATTCAGGCAGACATATTTATTTCTTTTATTTCTATTAGATTAGTCTTTAGGGCTACTAAAGTGATTCAGTCAAGAGCAGTGCGTGATTTTCTGTATTTTCTGTCTTAACATCAATGTCTCGGACAATAGCAACTAAATTAGGCTGCTGTCCCTTTAAAACCGGATACACGGATGCAATGTACTGATACACGTCCAGTATTCTCCCAACTGTTTATGTTCACATCACACGTAACCGAGTGTGTTTACATGAATACTCGTAAAAACAGACAATTCGACATCATTTTGTGTGTATTTCTCCATTCATGAGACGCGAGAGAGTAGGTTACTCTCTGCGCTCAGAAAACCGGACCGAATTGAGTTCTCTTTTGCTTCGTCAGATTTATCCACATGTCTGCTCTTCTCTTACTTCCCGATATCAACATTTTTAATGTTTTATGAGAGGTGC